TGCCCGATGTCCCATTGTTATATGATAGTCATTTATTGTCCTTAGTTTCCTTTTATGATTACTGGTTGTACATTCTATGAGTTATTACTGAATATTAAACACATGAACAAAATTTTGAAATAACGAATAAATTTTCAAAGAATGGAATATTCTAATCGGTTTTAAGGGAAAAATCAATAAATTCCAATTAGGGGCGATCACAATGGTGTTGTACTGTGAGCGTACTCCGGGTTCTGGCAGCGCAGCGCGAGATACGCGCGACAGGATGTTCCTCGGCTAGTGCTCTCGCAACTGGAGACCATATGAGGCTTTGAGGGAGAACGAATGACGGCGAAGAACGGTCGTGGGGATGCGCGACACGGATTGGCGAGGAAACAATGACAAACAGGTGGTATTCCATGGGTCGGGGTTAAAGGTAAACCTGCAAGGCCAAACAAATAAAACGCCACGAACCCAAAAGGTCCAGTGAGATACAAGCACTCACGATAAAATACTACTGGTGCGGTTCCTAAGCGTTACCGTGTCATATGACTCCTTGCTGTACAGCTCGTGGATATGATGAGCGTCGATGGCCCAGTGGTAACGTTACCAAATTATCACCCCGGAAAACGTCTGTTCGAATCCCACCACCATTGCGTGAGTTTTCCCATTTGCGTGTTGCATCGCGGTCCTCTGATTGGCCTCTTCCCCCTTCCTGAAAATCGGAACATTATATATTTAATAAAAAGAAGCGAAAATTAAAAAAAACAATTGGCAGAAATATTCATCATCAAGGAAGACTTGAGCAACTCACGAAACCGTAATCCGCATCCGTAATGAATTCTCAAATCAGAAGAACTCGAGAAGCTTTTGATCGATTCAAAATATCACGTGACGCGTTCACAACACACTCGGTGCCATCGTATGTATAGATCGCTTGTTAAAAAATACCGCCATATCTCAAATGCGTGAAACCGAGTTATGCCCTTATTGTCATGGTGTCAAAAACACAAACTCCGCATGCCAGGTAGCTTTTAGCTGGCCAGGAAACAAGCTTTGTCTAATGATCACAGGAGAAAAAGGGATCAGGTAGAATGTTTCAAAACAGCACAACACAGCTCAATATAATGTTGTATCGGTTGCATTGAATTCGAATAGAATTCCTCGCCCGTCTCTAACCGATTCAGCAAATGACAACGCATGCCAAAGATGAAGTGATGAGTTACATTGACTGTCACATGACCAGATCATGTAGACTGATAGATCCGTTTTCCCAATCCATATGCACGTGTTTCAATAGCAGTCTGCAAAGCACACTGACGTGTACAGATGCAATGCCTATACAGCCATCAAAAGTGAATTACACGCATGGCTGTCAATGCGAGAAGTGGTGGAAAAGGTGTTATGATACAACAACAACAACAACAACAACAACAACAACAACAACAACAACAACAACAACAGCAGCAGCAGCAGCAACAACAACAACACAGAATGAGCTTAATCCCAAATCCTTTCCGCGTATTTCTGAAACCAGTTTCACACTGCATGTTGACTGAATATTAGTAGTGATCGGTTCACTAAACGGAGAGCGGACTGGCTGCGTACTGCCCAGACTCACTTTGGTATACCCAGGTCCACTGAATCGGACTGAGGAACCATGGGACCACACCCTGTCCACAGATGCACGTGGTGAGACAACCAGCCAGAAACGAGGCAAACCCGGTGTCCTGTGTCCGAACAAATTAAAAAATCACATGTTCCATGACCGGACTAGAAAAAAAGGGAAGAATGATCCGACCGGATTGCGGAACAGCATGTGCAACGAGTAAACAAACATTCACCATGAGAATGTGTGAAACTCCAAGGCTTCTTTTTTACCCCGAATACAAATCTGTATGTTATTTTACCGTTATTATTTTTATTTGAAAAGTTGATCCGATCCGTGGTGTAAGTAGATTCGTGAATTGCCATCGGATCGCCGCTCGAGCCCCGACGCTCTACAATGTGTGATCTATCCGGGATTATAGCAGACAATCAACCAATCAGCCGCGCCTGATTGAAGTGACTCGTCCTGAATTAGGCATATTTGGTACATTTTAATAGTTTTCTCACATTTATTGTCCAGAGAGAGAGAGAGTGAAGTGAAAAATCAATCCAAACCTATTCAATTGTTCATCTGACATTTGCACGGATTGTGTCATTGGGTACGTGAATGACCCGACTCATATTTGCTAGTTCATTGGAACTAACAGTTCCAATAATAATTTGTCTAAAATTTCATTCTTTGACCGGCAACTATAGCGCGAAAATTGAATTTGGTCACTAGAATGGAGAATTTGTCAGATCCGATAATTTTGTTGTACCAAAATGACCAAAATGTTTCATGACAAATCGATTTTGAACAATCACTTTTATTGCCTGTGTGACCCATGTTCTTTATGCTTGTTTTTCATAGTTTTGTGCACTTCAACCATTTAATGGTGGTACATAAGGAGTTGTCTTTTTTGCGCTGCGGTAGGGGACGTGATAACAGTACGATGCAAATCCCCGTTTTTTGTTGGCAGATCAAGGATGAGGACAGGCGGCGTGGAGAAATCGAAATCTCGACCACGACCTAAATAGGATGAAATTTGACGATAGTTTTCCGATCCTGATTCATGATATGGAGCGATCACATGTTTTGCGCAACACGTCACAGACGAAGTGAGTTATTTTCATGTTGAAAATGTGTGTGTGTAAATGTGTGTGATAGTTATTTGTCTTTTCCTCAAGTATAATTTAGGTATTGGTTATCATGATGATGTAATGAGGTTCGTTATGAGGATTTCACATTACCTTGGGAAATTTTTAGTAGTCACTTTTAAGCGCTTCCATAATTGCAGGCATGTTCATTTCAAGTCAGTTTGATTTTTCTATTTATCACAACTCATTGTTTCTTCTTATTATTCAAAAAAATTAAACGTTATTGCTGCGAGTAGCAGAGCTGATGATCGTCAGTGGATAGGATCCTGGTGGTCTATTATTCGAATCTAACACCGGCACTATCATCACCAAAACCACCAACACCATCACCAGCATCCCCCCACCACCGACACCACCGACACCACCGACACCACAACTAACACCAGCACCACCAGCACCACCAGCACCAGCACCACCACCACCAAAACCGCCACCAGCACCAGCACCACCACCACCAACAGCAACAACTCCAACACCACCACCGGTA